TACACTAATGACAACGATTTTGAGCCATTTTTCCAACAGGTTCCAGTTGTTGGTTCACACATTTCCGAAATACAACCTACACTTCCTACGTAGTTAGCCCACACTATCTGTCAAAGATTTCAAGTTTTGGTCAGACCACCAAGATATCTTTTCCAACTCGACCCAGCCAGTTAACACTACATGTAGAAGGCGATGGCTTAGCCATATGAACAATACATTCATTCTAGTTGCCACCACTTTCTATTAAAGGAAGTTATTCAGTCAGGAGAATCAGTCACAACTACAATCTCGTCAAAGAAATAATAATCAAAGTTTACGAAAAAATCTTCCGACGAAACCCAAAAGGAGATATATAATAAAAACTGACAAACGACAGACAAAGTAGCAGTATTTGCAGTATAGATTTACCTTTCAATTTAACTGGAATTCACATAGATTTACAAATTAAATAAGCAAAATAGAGAAATAATGATAATCCGGAAGTTTTAAATCCAAAATTAATTAATCCATACAAGTGTTAGTGATGAGAACAACCCGTCCACGTCCTCACTAAGACTACATAACTAAACAAATGAAATGAGCTAGGCTAAGCAAGGCTAATACGCACGTTCGCGTCAGCCTGAAGACACATACGCAAACATACACATACACACGCACAACTATTAATATTAAACAATTAGCACGACGACAGCAACATCATGCCTGACCAGGGTCAAATTATTTAGAAAACAATCCAACCAATCAGAATACAAAGGGGTGAGAGAAGAAAATACTTGTACTTGAATCACGTGAACAGACACATCAAGGTCGTTCGGGGTACATATATTCATCCACCCAATGGAAATACGCTAGTTCACACACGTTCATTTGTATAGAGAAAAAAATGCCGGCAACAAAGACTGGCTCTTGATTGGTTAATTTTCAGCCATTACTTTATAAGGCTAGTAGTAGTTGTAGTAATGATATGCAGAATGACATTTTCATGGGAGGAGGGCAGAGAAATTATTGATTAGTAGTGGATATTTTTCGACAAGAGATTGAGACAATCAATATATATATATATATATATAATTTCTGCCTTGGGTCCTAAGTGCTTCAATTCACCCTCTGTACTGTTGGCTCCACGACTGTCCATAGGCATTCATCACCCTTGGACACCCAACTGACTGTCTCAAATTCTCGTTCTGATCCATCCCTATTTCCTTCGGAATAATTGTTGGGTGAAAAGTTTTGAGTTTGTTCTTTGCGTATCAGAGTTGTTTGTTGCCAGTCTTTTCTGTTCATCTTGTATATTCGTCATAGAACTGCATTGCAGAAAGGTGTCTTCTGAAAATCTGCTACAATTCCCTCACCCAATCGAAAATATGAAGCTCTAGAGATTATTTTTTCCTAGGCATTTGCAATCAAGGAGATAACTCATACGAGATGAGTGGGTTTCTGTCGAACAATTTTTCTACAACATTATTGTGCAGTTGGTGATTGTCAATTATGGTCACAATTATTCTCTTCCCCTAAAACGAGCGACATATCACCTACTAGGATTGTCATTTAGACGCCTATTTGTGAAATGACTATATTTACTAATGAAATATACATGACTAGGCGTTAATCAATGTCGGGTTTGTGCTCATTGAGTGGGCGGTCCACAGCATAACCGCATTAACCAATTTTGATACTATAGAGCTTCTAAGGCAGTTGAGATGCAGAAGATTCCCTTGGTTCTTAATCATCCCATGCCCCTTCCGTTGAAGCAATCAATTATTATTCCCTGATACCAACATGATCAACTTTGACACTTCATTCAAACGATGTAATATTCACTTCAAAGTGAATTTCTTTTTGTCAGACCGAGATAATTCATGGAAGGCATGGCTGCCCTTTATTCGAAGGTTATGTCCCTTCTGTACTCCACAAATATTGCAACATCGGGGCCTGGTACAAAACCCACATGACCACACTTTTGAAGCAACGGTGAGGACATTGAAATAGCTGTTTGGGGATCACATTCAGTGTCTGAAGCTAACTATGGACAAGAATGCGGATTTCTTCATCCATGTTGGTATCATTGATCGTGAGTATGAACGCTGTAAGTTGAAATCATCTATCAAGGACGATCAATTCAAAGCAGTTTTCATTCACATTTGCAGTTTACAGTCCCCTGACTTCGCCGACATTAGAATGAGGGGCTGTGTTGAACCTCTCAATTTGTTTATTTCATTTATTATTACTATTATTACCCAGAGGTATTTAAGGATTGCATTACTAACTGGACCATAGGACAACTGGAGCCATTATCTAGATAGAGAAACAGCAGCTATACTACCATGCTAGTATAATCAACCTTTTGTTTTCTACTAGCTTGATCACTAACTGTTATCAAAGTTAGAGAACCATTGAAAACCAAAGAGTGCGGGATAACTTTCACCCTAGCCCGGCACTCCTCAAGGAAACCTCACAGACCATTCATCATCAGCCACTGGGACCCGATCCAATGACCAGAAACCCAAAGAACTTCAAATCCTATCAATTTCTAATTTCAGTGCGACCATCGCCCCCCACCAGCCGTCGATGTCATCAACGAGTATCCGGGCATCATGACCACAGTGCTGGTACGACCTCTCACTGGAACACCAGGCAACTTCATCCTGTAGCCAGTAGTCAACAACGAGCATCAGATTAGTTTTCAAAAGTTAGTTAGGTCATGAATCCGATCAACCATTATTTATTTATTTCATGACATAACTCTAACACTATTATTTAACTTTAATAGATGTCTGGTTAGTGATTATTCCTACCCGACTAGTTGTTTTCTGCATTACGTAATTTATCATCTCATGACTGTTATTATCCAAAAGCTACATTAATAACAGAATTAGCAGCTGTTGCACTCAGCATAGGGAGTGAAATTCGGATTTTCAACACCAATGTTAAATTAGTCAACTCTTTTATATGAATCAGAATCTTGGATCACACGTCACACGCAAAGCATTCCCTACAGGCTATATTACTGCAGATCTTCATCAAAAGCTGAATTTCATAACTCCACACTACTGAAGAACAGGGTTGTCGACCAGAAAGAAGAATTAGCAAAAAGGAATCCTGCTGGTAGACAGGCTGGTTCAGCCAACAATCTATCACCACTTAACAAATATTCCGAAAGAAATGGAGATGGATCGAACACACGCTGAGGCCGTTGAGCGGCGTTTCTCTCATGGCCGTCGAGTGGAACCTGAATGCGAAAGGATGAGATTAGAGGCCGGCTAAAGACGATCACAGAAAATAGGACGAAACGGAGAAGTGCTGTTGAAGGCCTATGTTTTCCTCGGAACCAAATAACTTCCAGACACTTTGGAAAAGCGATAACAATACAACAAAGGTCGAGAGAGTTTCCGTCGAATAAAAAAGCTATTCAAAAGAAATATAAAATAACCTCAGCAAGTTTTATGAGACAGAAGGTAATCGCTCTTACTTAACGAATACAACTACAATACATACATACATACAAATATAATTGAATAACCTGACAGTGAGGATCGCAATTACTGGTAGATATTTGAAAGTTAGGCAACACATTAGATGTACTAATCGGTGATAAGATAATAATGAATACAGCTCAGCAAGTATGTGACATTCTTATTTTTGAAGTAACCATGAGCAGTAATCATCGTCTAGTGTCTTAAGTCAAAATGGAGGGGCGTAGTTTTCAAACTACTTTACTCTTTGCGAAATCAACTCTAGTAAATCATGAACACAGTTCATCATCTTTGGGAGATGATGATGGTTTATCCTGAGAATTAATAAACAAAGTTAGACAACTACAAATGAAAACCTACACAAAAATCAAATGATAATATTGACTGACTGACTGGTTTCAAGTGTTGGTTTGTAGGGATTTGATTGGTTACAGGATTTTCATCATGAACTGACATAAGTTAGAGAACCATTGGAAAACCTGGGAGTACTGGACAGATGTTTCGTCCTAGTTTGGGACCCTTCATCAGTACGCACCCACCGGGAAGTCGTGACCAGAAGAGTGCAGCAGGTTGGGTGTGAGGACAAATACTCGCCGAAGACATTAGCTAGGGGTCGCGCTATGTCGTGAATTGGCAAAGTTAGAATTCGTGGGCTGGCCATTGGATCGGGTTCCAGTGGCTTAATGGTATACGAGCTCGCCTTGTAACCAGAAGACGGGTGCGTACTGCTGAAGAGTCCCAAACTAGTACGAAGCAGCTGTCCAGTACTCCCAGCTGGTTTTCCAGTGGTTCTCTAACTAATGCCAGCTCATGATGAAAATCCTGTAATTGGTTTCAACATAGAAATTTCCACAGATGTCTAGTCAGTTCCAATTCCCACTCTTCCTCCATGTACCGTAATACAAAGCAAGAGAAGAAAGTAAACAAAGATTCCACAAAAAAAAGAAATAATTCACACCAGTTTTGAGCGAAGGAAAAACAATAGTAAGAGTTTTATTGGACATGACAAATCACAATGAATGAATGCATCTCCGCCAGCCAGCCATTGATAATCAGGATCTCCAGCCGTATCACCAACCACCATATCTCCAGCCTTCATTGGTTCTTACCATCCTGAGGATCCCAATCAATCAGGCAGTCTACGCCTCCCTACGTCACGGTTGGCTGACTTAAACTAACTGTTATGTATTTCATTGACTGATTGGACCTCTTTGCCAACTTCACCGACGACCTTATGTCAGCAGCTAAGATTGCCCGTCGGTCGAGGAAGGCGATGGCTAGGCAGGCTAGCATGCGTGACACATATCCTAACCATCTCAGTCGATGCAGCTGCTTCACAACCTCGTTGATTGATTTTCCCTCCTTACACCTAGCACTCGACCGATGCCTCACCAACACAATATTACTCAACCCCCTATTATACGACGTAATATTAGAAAATAACAAATATTAAAAACTGCAGACCTGAAAGGCGAAATAATTATTGAATCAATTAATTAATTATTAATGACACAAACACACACATACCTGAGTGCTGCTTGAGCTGATTGAATAATATGCGTTAGTAAACTAAGTGATGGTTTACGAAGTTCAACTGGTAAAGCTAATCTACTACGTGGTATAAAAGTAGAAGAACTGCCAGAAACATGAAGTGAATACTGTGCACGTAGATAATCGACAACACCATGAGCAAATGGATCCTGTAATGAAGCAAAGAAAGAAAGAAAAAATTTCTTTTAAATCACTAGAAAATGAGGGCCGATCATATCAGTAGAGCCGTTATTGATTACAGACTAGTTATCTTTCTCCACCGCCTATAACATAATCTAGATTTATCTTAGATGTTTTTGATGTGATCGACAGCAAAACCATGATGGACCTAGGGGTTTCCAGTTTGTTGGCAAGGTGGAGGGGGAACACACATCACTTCTAAAATCCGAACCCACGACAGCCCGTACTTTGTTGCAGTGGAAGACAATAACACTAACCTATTCGGACTCTAGATTTGAAGTCAGACACGAAGAAAGCCAAAAAAGAAAACAGTAAAGTCCTTCATAATCAATTAGAGAACTGCAGAAAACCATACAGTGCTAGACAACAGCAGGTTTGGACCCAGCTCGCAAATCCTCAGCAGTACTCACCCAAGATATTTACCAAGCACCACGCTCAGGACCTTTAGGTAAGAAGGCAATTACGCCCTGTAGCTAATGTAAGTCAGTGTGTGATATTTCCATCCAAACAAGCTCAAGTGGACAAGAGAACAAGTAGAATAAGTGACTGTTAAATTTAATCTTTCACTGTTTGAATATTACCCCACCTCTTCGACTGATTGACTGACTGACTGGTTTCAGCGTAGAACTCTGCACAGATGTGCAGAAGTTCGAGTTACCACACTCCCTCCGTGTAGCAAACAAAGCAAGAGAAAAGAGTAAAGAGAGATTCAAAAGGGAGATATTAAACAGAAATATGAGGCACTCGACACCTAACCTCAATATTGCTCACCTTATTATACCACGGGATAGAGAACACAGACAACTATGATCAAAGACAGCTAGCTAGCCGTTTCATGTGTTTCACTTTCAATGACCAGGCTTCACCACCAGCCACAGAGGAGAACAAAGCGAACTGTTTAGCAGTACACACGCCTTTTGGTTGACAGCCAGCATATGCTAAACGAGTCCCCTATATCTGTGCTGAGATCTCGTCAGCGATCAACCCACTGGCGTTGGTTAATGCAACTTTCCAAATAAGTGAAGTGGTTAACACGCTTTACCACTTCACTCCCTATCTCTAAGCTAGGAGTCAATGTAGTTCAGTCCTGTAGCATCACCTTTACCCTCTTTACTTTGACCTGTGGTTAATTCCTATTCTTAATGCTTCATTCTTGTACAAAGTGATGGTGGACTGTTGATGATAACGTGCTGTTTAATGATTGCAGCGATTTTGTATAACTGAATCCAAGGTCACGACCTTAGGGGACTATTTGACTTTGGACTTGTTGGCTGGAAACAAGTCATGGTGTGTGTGTGTGTTCGATTCTTGCCGATGACAGAGTTCTAACCTCACACATATTGTTGTTGGATATTTCATTTGATTCTCAAGGTACTTCTTACGGTTTGTGTTTTGATTAAGTAATTTTGTTGTACAGGCCGCCCTATTTTGTACCTGAAAAACTCTTAGGGTATGGTGCCTCCTAACGGCATTTACTGGGGAATTTTTGCATTTTTGATATGTCATTATTATTTAAAAATACCAAAGAGTTTATCACACGTAACTGTCTGTTTGCTACAATAGCGGCATTTTCGGGACAGTGAGTCACTCGTTACTCAAAAGAACCGCATTGATTAGTTCCATCATGAATTCAGATCGAAATACTTGGGGATTTGGTTAGGTTATGCCGCAGCTAACCTAAGAATTATATCATTCTACAAACTGAAGTAATCTTATAATGTGTAACTTCTGGCTAGAGAACTGGTGATTTCACAAAACAAATTACCAGGCTGCAATATACACAAGCTCGATGTAGAACTCCGCCACCATTTCCTTTATTAAGGACTTCAAGCTAGAGGCTTGAAGTTTCGGTAGCAGTGGTGTTTATTTTTACGGGATGGGGTTACTAGACTTATGCCCCAAACCACCCTCTTTGCCAGTCTTATTACTGGCTTAACGGGGTAAAGGAGTGCCTCGTCGGCCGGGGATAGAACCCCGGACCACATGAGGCGTGGATGGCGAGCATTCTACCGCTGCGCCACCAATGCCAGCTCCCTTTAGGAACCGGAATTATTCAGATCACCACAATATATGATCCTGCCTGATTAACTATTTAAGATAATTGACTCATATTGTAACGACAGAAGACAAGGGCCAGGCAACAGATCGTTTGTTGAGAAAATCAATAAATATTTATAGATTTTTATGTACATTATTATTCATTATTGTTAACAGAGAGATTGGTTGTTTTCCTGCCGAAGGTTATTCTGTCGTCTCTTTGTTGCCGTTTCTTCGATAGTCCGCTGATTTATGTATATATATATATATATATCTGCTAATCGTATCAACCCACGCCAAGTCTGCTGTGATTGGTTGTTGATTTCCTCAAGGTTAGGCTTTGTCCTTGTTTTTTTTCTCATGACCAAGATTTGGGACGTAAACACACTGACGTAAATTGCTGTCAACCAATTTCAGCTAGCAGACAGCTCCTCTCACCACAATATGAGTAGTTGTATACCTCTCAGTCACATATTCGACCAGCAATAGTGCTTGTCAGCTAACTAGATGGAAATTATCTAAACGACAGAAGATAGTGCAGTGTGTACCCACTTTAAATCAGCTTAGAGAGTCGAATCAGTCTTTGAAAGATGAGTTAAAAGTCATCTGAAAGCTACCCAACGCGACACGTAACTCCATACAACTGTGATGTACAAACACACTATTGTACTAAAAATATCATGAGCTACTTAAATTCCGTACAAATGAGCGGTTGAATCATCAATGGGCTTGTCTAGTAACCTGGACGTCTTTCGGTCGGTCGGTCGGTCGGTTTTCGACATAGAACTTTGCACATATGTGCGCCAGTTCAAGTCGCCACACTCCCTCCTTGTAGCACACAAAGCAAGAGAAGAAAGTAGGAGAAATGCATAATATAGACAGTAAACAGAGGTGTGAGACAAAGGAATAGTAATAACGAAGAACAAAACAGTTTCATTGGAAATCATTAGTCACAAGGAGTGGATGCATCTACACCAGCCACTGACAACGATTTTGAGCCATATCACCAATTGTCTGTCCCCAACCATTGGTTTTTACCGTCTCGAGGACCCCAACCAGGAAGTCTACATCTTCCTACGTGGCTGGCTTAGACTAACTGTTGTGGATTTCATTGACTGGTGCCATGTTTTCGTTCGACCGCCACTGGTTAGCTCTTTTCCAGCCTGACCCTATATCAGCTAACATTGCCCGTCGAGGAAGGCGATGACTAGGCGGGTATGCGTAACACATGTCCTAATCATCTCAGTCGAAGTAATTTCACAGTTTCGTCGATTGATTTCCCCGCCTTACCAACTAGCACTCGACCGATGGCCTAACCTCAATATTGCTCACCTTATTATACCACTTCACGCGGGAGATAGAACGCAGACACCTATGATCAAAGACAGCTAATCTTTTCATGTCTTGTGCTCTCAATGGTCAGGTCTCACAGCCATAAAGGAGGACGGAGCGGACTGTTGAGCAGTACACACACCCTTTGGTCGATAGTCGGATATCGCGTCTACGCCAGAGACGGCAAAAACTGGCGTATGCGAACCTAGTCCTCTGTATTCGTGCTGATATTTCGTCTGAGATCAACCCGTTGGGGCTGATGGTACTTCCCAAGTAATTGAAGCGGTCAACGCTGGACATCTTTAGTTCGATTTCACGTGGGACAGCACACAAAGGGGCGCGTGTACTCTGTGCGTAGAGTCCCAACAGTAGGAGAAACTAGTTATCCCATACTCCATGAACAAATGTATCATTATAGACTTTTCTTGAATTCATAATCAGATTTTTTTCTTTCAAATGTCACTCAGATCCACAGGGTACCACCCGAGAGACAGAGAAGGGGTAGGGTGGAAGGGACAAAGACAATAGGGTAGATAGATAGATAGATTGGCCATTAATTTTTCTTCTAACCCAAGGCAAGGTTAATGAATATAATCGTATGCATACAACTTTGAAATCCAGGTGAAAGAAGTGAACAAAACAGGGCCACAAATACATACAAACAAGTCGAATGTCTAGACAGCGACACACGGCATTAGGTCAAATAATGCAGATGACTAAGAGAATAAATGAATGAATGCATGAATGGGTGAATCAATATGAGGCCTTAGCTACGGTTACGGTGTAGTAGAAACACGTTTTAAATGTTTGAAGAAAATAAATAAGCAGAACAAAAAAGAAAACAATAGCAGCAACAACAATAACAACACCGTTTTTCTTCATTTTTCAGCTTATTAGAACTAGTAGTCACCTTATCGGATAAACTGATCAACATTTCAATCTTATCACAATAATACAACAACACACAACTAACACGTAATATTCACTTTGTTTAATTCAACTTGAACATTCTCGTTGACTGATCGATTGGACCGAAGTGGCCGGCCTCAGGTTGACGACATGTCGGCTCCATGTGTGGATGCCTCGACGGACGATGTATGATTATTTAATCTTGGAGTAAATTGATGAATGGTGACTACCAGTGGATACAATCCAGGATGTGCATCTCGTCGCACTATTTAGGATGCGTCCGCTAGTTGGATGTGGCTCTTTCGTGTCCCACAAGTGATCTAGTGGATAGTACTTCGGCGTTTGAAACTATACAGCTACTGGGTTCGAGCCTCAGTGGGGAAGAACACACAATCACTTACTTACTGAGTAAGACGCAGTTAAATTCAGCTGGCGGACGAGTACCAAATGATTGGACGAAATGTGCGTTATACTGAATTCCTTGTGTTGCTAATCACCATCCAGAAATATTTACTTTGTCTTTACCAGAAAAGAGGTGAGCTTCAATTCGTCTACCTGCCTCTGTGTATGCGTCTGTGGTTACAGAGCAGTACTTTGGTAAAGCGTTTAACCGTTTCAGCAAATATATGCATAACAAATTATCAAGATCAACAAACTTGCATACGCATAGAAGAAAATTTCAGAAGGGAATTGACTCAAAGAACTTTTATAACGCTGTTAAAATGCAAGGTTCCTATCCATCACACGATCGCTCGTGATTCGTTCACGGGAAGACGAAGTACCTAAACTAATTCTCTCTGCTTGTATCTACCAATCTAACTGATCCTCAAGGAGCCAGCAGTTAGTTTACATTGGGGCTGTTGCTCTAGGTTATTTTTTTCATGCTCGAGAATACCTACCTACCACAACAGTATGGCTAAATAAAAGTGTAGTCAAAACTACCAGCAGTTCGACATTAGATCACCTGGTCCACCAAGCAGACCATTTATAAGACTCTTTCTCTATCAACTATTGGGTACCAGATAAATTACCGAAAGCCTTTAAGGTACCAAATAATCTAAACAACAGGAGTTCTTGCTGCAGTTCGCTTAGAACAGCCGGTGGTGGTCTGGGTGAAACAAACACACTCAACTACTATTGCTACCCTGACCTGGTTTTGGAGAATCTACAAATTCATATATACTGGTATAACGTTGCACCTTTTAAGTATAATCTTCCTTATTATTAAATCAAACATTATGGAATCTGATGTGAAGAAGTTATCGAAAAGAATATTCTTTGTTCAGTAAATTAGTCTTACAGAGTTTCAAAAGCTTTCCATGCAAATGGTTACAGTTTGCAGGAGTATAGTATACGCAAGTTGAAGAAATGAGGCAAAGTGTAACAGTAGTCATACTCAGTAAATGCCAGGGAACTAGAATAGACAGAAACACGTCTGCCCCACTGAGAACGGGTGGTTTGAACTGATTTCAGCTCCTCTGAGCTGAATCGAACCGCGCACACTGCTGAAGAAGTCGGCTCCAGCCGAGAAAAAAAACTGCCGTCTGGGGTGTTTAGATCACCTCGATCTAGTCAGCAAACAATACTGATGGTGGTTGATGTGAATGGTATATAACTACTACTCATCTCAACCAATCAGTAGTATGTTGTCTTATACAATTATGCTTCTTTCCTTGATTAGCAAACAGATCAAAGATTGTGGTGATCTGAGTCATCTCGTTTTTCAAAGGAAACTGTGGTGAAATTTCACCTGATCGAATTGTCTCAGTAGCAAATTTGACTATTGAGAATGATTTTTCGAGCCACTCTCCATCAACAGTCTCTTAGCCACTGATTCAAAAAGTCTCGAGGACTCCAGCAACTCACACAGTCTCCATACTTCCCTACGAAAAGAAAACTAACAGTCAAAGACTTCGTGGATTGATGACATATTTTCGTCGTCTAACTATCCTCCATACTCTTTTCTAACCTAATCCCATGTTAGCTAAGATAAGATTGCGCTCAACGAGGAAGTATGCGAATCATACATTCCAGGCATCTTAATCGATGAAGTTACGCAACCCGATCGATTGACTTTCTCTTCTCACCTAACACTAATCTACATAGAACTTCATTATTCCATAGTAAAGCATCCATAACAAGGGAAACTCAGTGAAGCCTTTGAGGTGAAGACAGGATTACAACAAGACTGTACACCTTCACCCAAGATATGATACTCCTGATTGTGGGTGGAGATGGCCATGCAGTGCACCGTGGGGAGCCAGAAGACAGGGATACGTTGGACCAATAAGAAAACTCTAAGAGATTTAGATTTTGCATGTGGATGGTTGATGTTTAATGTCACGCAAACTCGAAGAATTACAGGCGAAAACCAACAAACTAGCTGAAGAAGCAGCAAAGATAGGACACTTCAAGTGAACATAGAGAAGACAAAGGTGATCGAAATAACTAAGGGACCACCGCCATCACCACCAATAACAACAACAACAACAACAACCATCTATCCCTACCACCTATCTAGGCAGCCAGCATCGTTTCAATTACGGGCAGACGGCACGGACGACGATATCAAAGGTAGGATCGGAAAAGTAAGTTTTTCTAATTGGAGATTTTCTGCGCTAAGCATAAACAACAGAATTCTGAATTTCAACACCAATGTTAAGACCAGATGACCAAAGCGGATTATCAACAAGATGTTGTGACGAGAAATGGACCAACTAAGAACCTGTCTCTCGACAAATAGGCAGAAGGAAGTGAAGACGAATTGGACACAAGTTGAGAAGACTGTTGGCCCTCCAGTGGAATCCTAATGGAAACAATAAGTTGGGAGTCTGAAAGTGACATGGAGATTAGAGCTTATAGGCAGTTGTGGAACCAGCTAGCTATACGATGATTGCGGGGAACACAACACAAAATGAAGATGTGTTGCTGAGGCTTAGTGCTCCGCTCGGAACCCAGGCGGATTTATCATGAGAAAAAGAGAGGACATTGACACCTAGGATCAAAGAGAGTCACAGTCAGCCTCATCATGTCGTCCACTTTCAAAGGACATAATCTCACAGTCATGAAGTACGTAGGACATGGTTGGATTGAAGTCGACAACCACATACTCTCTCTCTCTCTCCCTCCGTATGCTGGAAGCGGTTTACAACCAGAATTCTACTGCTTAAGTGTAAAAAGTCGAGTAAGTGATAAAATCAATAGAGAATAAATCTCAAAATCAATATACACTTACCGCTGTTATCTTATCCCGAAAGTGTTCAGTAAACCATTGTGAAAGAAATGATTTGATAGCACCTTGAATATATGCCAACGAAACATTCCCTTCAGTTCCAGCAGTACGTGTAGACGAGGATGCAGCAGCCACAGCATTTGCCATACAAACAACTAAAACCAGTGTTAAATCGATTGCATGACTAGGCGGTAACATTAAATGAATAGGTAAACCAGGTTGTTGGTGTTGTTGTTGTTGCTGTTGTACAGAAGTGGTGTTATTACTGCTCCCTGACGGTGTAACTCTTTGATGTAACAAATTTGAAATAGTATTAGATGAATTCTCTGTTGTACCGAGCAACATTGGGAGGATAGTACTTCCACGAAGAACATTATTATTATTATTACTATTACTATTATTATTACTATTATTACTGGTATTATGATCATCTGAGATGCTTGCGAGTAGTTCTACAAAGCGTGTAAAATTCACCAGTGTGCTTTTATGAGACTGGCCACTGGAACTACTATCAGAGTTTGGCAGAGGTGATAATGTACTCGGTTCACTAGATGCACCAACAGCAGACAATAGCTGAGCTGTGTATTCAACGCATGAAGCAATCAATAAATGACGTTGATATTGTAATTCAGTACTTGTTAGACGAATAGACTAAAGACAAAAAAAATATAAACACAAAGAAAACACGCATAAACAAGGTAAACAGGATTCATGTGAAATTATTTTTTTTTTCAAGCATATACATAATAGTTTCAGAAAATAATCAATAAAAGTAAATAATCAATCACTAGAAAAATCGATAAAATCACAATTAGTGTAACATTGACTTTTAAAACAATGGATCGGTATTCATTCAATGATAAAATTAACAACAGTAAAGAGGAGTATTATAAGGCATGAACAGTCTACAAACACTTTCATATATTGAGACAGGGTGGGGGGGGGCTGTTTCAACACTATTTGACGCAAGACACCGTCGACAAAAAGGTATAGAATTTAAGTGTTGGCTTGCAGGGATTTGACTGGTCACAGGGTTTCACCATGAGCTGACATCGGTTAGAGAACCAGTGGAAAACCTGAGAGTGCTGTCAGACAGATGTTTCGTCTCAGTTTTTGGACTCTTCATCAGCACCCGCCCACCACCTGGGTATCACATTTACGCCAGACATAACATCGACTGGAAAATATTGCATGGACCTTTTATATTCATTTTAATATTTCGTCGTCAGTGAATCGCATGCCGAACATTTCTGTTCGTGTTCAGAAGACTCTGGCATTATAAAGGCATCTCCCACATATTCCAAGTCAACAAGGCTCCGCGCCCTGGTAAAAAGTCAATCTCTAAATCACCTAAGTTAATTTGAGTCAATTTTATTCGTACACCTATGATGCAACTAAACAGAAATCGGGAAAGTGAACATCCCCTTAACACATACCATTGGTTGTTATCACTTCAAATGACAACTCCCAAGTGGTATGGTGTAACTGTGAAGGGTGCTATGCGCCATACATTTCCGTTTATCATAATTTCCTTCTGTTTGTGTGTGTGCTTTTACGAGATGTGACAGACACCCAGCATGGACTGTTGTGAATTTTCGCAAAATCGTTACGCTGAAAAATTGTGTTTATTGTTGAAGTATACGGATAGGCGATTTATATGACATATCCCCTTTGTTTTAAAGTGGCGCCACACGCTTTATCCGGTGGTTATCGGGGAGTTTCAATAAATAGGCCAAAGTATATACCAGCATGATTGCATAAAAATTTAATAGTATACGTTTAACTCTTAAGCCTATTGTCTTCTCTGATCTGCTACACTGTGCAGATATCAGTATCAAGCCAGATTTTCTGATAAAAGTGCAGCAAATGTGTAACACAGTTTACAAGAATATTTAATACCACTGCTAATATGTACGCCAGAGAAAAAATTTCATTTCAGAAGGACACAAAACATATATTTTATCATCAAATCACACACCATAGTAATGGACTACGATGCTACAGTTTAGCGGGGATGTACCCGAATAACTCAGTGGTAACGTCTCTGACTGCAGCACTGGGTGATGCGGGTTCGAATCTCAGAAGGGACATGAGTTCCTTCAAGGTTTCAGGTACGTCTTGCTGATGAGCGTCAACTAGCATGAAACCTAAGTCCAAGGCTTCCTGCAGATTGTGCGTCGGTGGCATAGCGGTTAGGACGCTCGCCGACCATGCACATGGTCCGGGGTTCGATCTCCGGCCGACGCACTCCTTTACCTGGCTAAGCCAGGAATAAAAGTTGATAAAGAGGAAAGGTTGGGCATGGGGCTAGCAACCCCATCCTGTGAAAAAATGCTACAGAAACTTCAAGCCTCTAGCTTGAAGCCCTATGTTCCACTGGGAACGTGAAGGAATAGAAAAAATTATACTAACTCTATTATACAAATGGAAAAAAAATAAGCCTCCACTTATTGCCAATTTTATCCTCCCCCTCCCCAACATCCATGACTTCTTTTACTTACAACAAGACGATTTTGGGCAAAGTTAAAGTACCATAGTCAAAGTCAAGACCTTTCAAAAACCGATCAGACACAGGGAATGCCATGAAATATCATTCCAAATGAAATTATACCTGCCTTTATGGACTTGGAGAGGATAGATACGGTTTTCTACTTATTTACTAGGTACCTTTCCTGCAAATCTGCACTATTAGGTAGAGTTATGGCGTTTAACATTAAGGTTAGAGTTAGGAGTAGTTTGAAGAATAGTGTCATAAATATCAATGGATCTCAAAGTACCCTGTGACACCGACAGTCACCTACTTGGATGAATGAGTATATATCGCACATGGTACGATTTCTCTACAGATCATCTGTGTATTGACTGGGAGAACTTCTTACAACACATAAGCCACAACTATACAACAGTGTGATATATTGTTTGCAAAGTTCTTTGTGCATTTTTCAACGATGATGTGACTTTTTTGGCATCTGAAATTTGATTGGTTGTTCAAGGTCACTGTGATGGTCACTCTGATTAATCTAATTATAGGCAAAACAACATTACACATGTTCTCTAGCTAAGAATGTTGCCACCATACGAACTGGTATTTTTTGTACGCTTTGTGCAATAAACACATTTATTTTCTCCTTCTAATTATGTTGTGACACTTGAGGTAAGATAACAAGGTCATTATTAAATGATAAGGCGCATGTCTGATTCACCATTCATCAAGAGTATTTTTATCGTTGTGACACATTGTCTAATAAGATACCTATTCATCACCTGTGTATATGTATAAAGGAAAGTGGAGGAGAGGTGCATGGGAAGGGTAGAAACAGAGAGAGAGATGGAGACTTCGGACGATGGTGAATGTTGCCATTTTTGTGTGTGTATGTACGCACATCTGTATATGACTTAATTTATTCTTACAGTCTGATTGAATGTAATTTTAATTAACCAAAGTCTTTATTCCATTCAAATTAGACTTTTCCGTTGACTGATTGATTGAACCGAAGTGCCCGGGCATCAGGTTGACAACATGCCGGCTCTCCTTGTGCAGATGCTTCGATGGACGATGTCTGATTATTTAATCTTGGAGTAAATTGACAGGTGGTGATGGAGATGAAGGCATTATGAGCAGAAACGAGGTTCTATCAATCAATTAACGGAAAAGTCCAAATTGAATTCAGTAATTACTGATACATACCCATTGTTGCAAAAGAGAGAGGTGGCTCTCTCGTGGCCCACAAGCATTTCTAGTGGATACCATTTTGGCGTTTGAAACTATATGGGCACTGGGTTCGAGCCTCAGTGAGGGAGAACACCATCACTTACTTAATGACTGAGGAAAATGCAGTTACATCAAGCTGGCAGACGAGTCCCAAATGGTGGGATGAAACGCGCACTATCCTGGATTCACCACTCAGCGAATCACACTTGAAGTCTTTATTTCTATGCATCCAATGTGATGATATGCGTTTTCCTGGCGTTATATGTTTATGGTGTGCACCCTTTGCACACTATACACCAATATTAGTAAACAGGTCTTGGTTTGTAGGGATTTGATGTGTTTCGAGTTTGACCAAGACGGAGTGTTATCAGTTAGAGAGATAGCAAGGTGCAGCAGAAATCGAATACACTGACTTCTGGCTCTTAAAGATAGGATGAAATCTCTTCGCAGACACAAAAGTTTTGTGTGACACTTGCCAACATAGATGGCACTGAAATAGAGACCAAGTCGGAAATTAAATATCTTGGCGTCATTCTATCTGCTGATCTCTCCTAGTCGTCTCATATGTTGATGATTTGTAAGAAAATATTCCGTCTTAACTTCTAGATCAAGAAGTTAAGACATTCTGGAATAACCCAACCCTTACTCTTACGATTCGTTAACTCTCACATTCTGCCTATTATTCTCTATTGCCCCCCCTTAGTTTTTCCAGGGCTACTGAAGAAGGAATATATCTTATTACGTAGGGTGTTAAAGGTTGTCAGCAGGGTAAGCAATGTGCCACTTAAGCAGCTTGTTAATATTCTGATTGACAGGCACTTGGACTCATGTGAAAAATGGGCGAAATCCATTCTATCTAATTCACACCACCCTCTTCATTTTTTTATTATAGCTTGATTCCACACAGTATTTTTGGTACAACTATGAAATTTTCAGCGTGTGATATTGGTAGTCCAAATTTTGCAGGCCGACCATTGATATTGGGTGTTCGTCGGCAGGGGATCGAACCCCCAACCATGTGCATGGTCGGTCGGTCAGAGTCCTAACCGCTGTACCACTGATGCACAACTCTCCCCTTGTATCTCATCAGACAAAACCAGAAGCCTATATAGAAAACTATATGCTCGCACTAGCAAGTACAAAAACTCAACTATACCCTACTTGGCTCGTGTTCTGTGTGATAAAGAAGGCATTAGGCGTGACACCTATAATTCATTAAATAGTCAGTAGTACAACTGGACCTCGTCTTTCCAACTCATATCATTTATAGATAGAACGTTTTCTTTCTTTCTTTTCCTTTTCTCTTTTTTTGTTGTTATGTGCTGTTTTGTTTCTCTCTTCCTTACAAAGTCTACTTAAAACATTCTTCTTCGTTCTTTCACACTGTATATCTCGACCTTTTTGTTAGCACTTACGCCAGCAAACATGCTAGTATCTACTTTTCTAACACATTCAAACATTCTATGCACTTTTGGCTTTGCTACCGATATGCTAATATGTTGTTATCAAAACTAACTGAGACTACCCATAATCTATGTAGAATTGTATTTATTGTTAATGTACAAACTGGATCCAATGCTGTAGTGAAATGCTGAGAATTGTATTCTGTATCACTAATACTGTTTTGGAATCAAGCAAATTATTATTATGTTATCTTTCACACAAGCGTGTTATGCAGCTGATTATCGACCAGAGGACGCATGTACTGCGCAGAAGAAGTTCGCTTCAAGTGAAAAAACAGGGGGCTATCAGCAAGGATAATGAAGTTCCAATGGCAGTGGTGTTATTCCTTTTTACGGGATGGGGTTGTTAGCCTCACAAGTCCAACTTTCCCACCCACCACCTCACCTCCGTTTACAGGACTAACTACAAGCTTGGAGAGGAGGTTAAGGAGTGAGTTGGACCACTAGCGGTGTCGTTGGTGAGAATTCTACCAATGAACCACGATCGAAGCACATTTTTCTAACAAAACAGTTAGTTCTGAAACGATAATACAGATAGTGTCAACAATTCTACATTATTATTATTATTATTATATGCTTACCTTTCCACCATTCCATGCTGTTTGAAGGATAATTTGTGAATTCATGCGATTTGTCAAGAAATACACGAATGCATGACCAAGCATAACATTACGTAGGGTAGAAAAACTCTGTTACAAATAAAAAACGAACAAATCAAACAAAGAAATATATTGAAGGAAATACTCGTAAAGTAGCAGTAGTTCTATCATCACAGATTATCACACCAGTATCAGAGCAATTTTTCAAAGTACCTGAAAACACTGAACAGGACTACATAGATGGATGGAAGGTATGACCACTTTGTCAGTGTGGAAATTGGTATATAGTACAAAATACGGATTTTCAACAGTAATTTCTAAGCAGTCACAGTGACTTGACTTGCATTACCGAAAGCATTTCATCAAAAAGGGCCACGTAGACATTTATTGACAGTTAAGACTTCAATGAGTCCATACTGAAGATCAGATGATAGCCAGGAAGGAGAAGGGGGGGGGGCAACAACCTACTGCTCAACAATTATACGCTGTAGAAAGTGCAGATAGATCAGAAACACACACTGAGAAGACCACTTGAATGACATCTCACGTCAGGCCAATACTCAGTTAGAGCAGGAATGTAAGGCGGCGAGTTGAACGTCTTAGGGTGAAAGAGAAGAAATGAAAGCTCACGGACAATGGTGGAGCTAGCTAAACAGGACTCCCCAGGACAGGATAAAATGGAGATGTGCTGTTGAAGCCCCATGTTCCTCCCGGAGCCCAACGAGATAAATAATAATAATAATACCCACTCTGTAAAACGTGAGGAGATGGCAGAACAGCATCTACAAGAATTAAACAAGTTTCAGTCGACACACATCACAAATATGAGTTGAGCTCCAGTTAAAACTGGATCCTTAAGTATAACAGAACCTCAGTTATCATCAATAGATTAGATTAAATCACATTATCGCAATTCACAGTGTAAGGAAATATTTTCCTGATTGGTATTACCCGTAAGTTAGCTGATCGGTATGTCTCTGACTGATACACCAGTCCCCTCAAGTTTGCAGATACGCACATTCCTCCTGATGAGTGCCATCAAGTGCAAAAGTTACATTATCAAGGGCTCCCTACCGCCAACCAACTTAATATTAGTTCAAAGCGTACCGCAATGGCAATTCATATGGCTAAGTAACCACACACATTATCAATTTGATTGGTAGAATTCACCAACACACAGAGGGTCAGAAATGATATATTGGATAATGACCAATCAATATCACACAATCTATTCCAGTTGAAACAAAGACATCTACAATTTTACACATGTATTCCCCCCCCGTTTATGAAACTGAATAGACCAAGAACAACGGTTTGTACAAACAAGTTAGAGGAGGAGGAATTTATGATTCTCAAAATGATGTTGAAAAACAGTTACGGTTACCGTCACAAAATATCCATTAACCAAGTGCAGAGGATATGAAGGTTCAAAACAAGTAACAGTCGAAAAGATGCCTATTTTCTTTCAAGTCAACTTTAAAAGTGATAAGATTTCAGGAATAGTTAACAAAAGACTGAATACCTCACTAGACAGAACCTATCCTACAAGTTAAGTTGGTTCCCGTTTATCAGACAACATACTCCGTGGTCCAACCAAAAGTCGACATATAACTCATTAACTACGCCAACTGTGTATACAAATTTGCATGTATCTGTGCTAGTAGTTACAACATTTGGAGAATAGAAGGAAGAAGAGCACACTTTCGATTTTCTAAACATGTCTCAAGGGAACAAACGCTTAGAATACTGCCATCATTGCCGGACATCTCATTGATATATGCCATTAGGTGGACATTATGAAACCCCTTAGAATAATCAACAGACAAAAAATAGTTCAATTCTCCTCAAGTTTTCTGAAGCAACTGCTGTCATATACACCACAAAGCCGATTTAGCTGTTTGTTGTTCAGAAAGAAGCAGTTAACAGTCTTTCCTTGACATGGTGTAACTGAATGTCTTTAGTCTCTCTTCCATTTAAGATTGCATAATCCATGGCGTTAATCTCTCCCCCCCCCCCGTTTCTGCATAGTGTAACTTGGATTGTCCGTCCACCGTTTCTATGATTTGATGAAATGAACTCACCAAAATGGCTGCTCAATTGGTTAGATACACATCATCTTATCCACAACCTCTTGTTTTTATTACGCGACTCTTCTGCCATGGCGTTCAAGCATTTATTTTTAGTTAACCTTGAACTTTCTAAACACTTTTTATGAAGTCTGGAGTTTTAAGTAGATAATTAACTGACATTGTGTAATATTTGCAAGTATGTTAAAATTTTTCTGTGCATAGAACTGAATTCATTTCTTTGGACTGTACTCATCATCAGCTGACGGAACAAATGATGGCACCATCGTGGTCTGTTCTGCACAAACTATTGTGTTTTTGTTATTTATATACAACCTAGACAAATCGTACTAATGATAGCAATACATAGCGTCACAAAAGTTTATGTTTTCAATTCCACAAAGAACTCATTATGCATAAAATTTACTTCGATAAAAGTGAACTACTCATAAACCATTTAAGTAGGTAGAAACAAAACGCAGTAGAATTGAAAATACTTACCGTTTCAAGTAAGGTGGCTGTCAGTATATCCGGGCATAATATGAATGCTTGTTTGAGAAGCTGGTAGACTTCTGAGTATACACCTCTTTCAGACAGACTTAGAAGTGTTTGAACATAATCGATATTTTTCCTGGAAAGGAGAAAAAGATAATTAAAACTTTTAAAAAAGCTTCTGCATATATATATATAAAATAGAATATTCTGCAGAGACTACATGTTATAGAAAATAGTTATTATAAAGCACTGGGTTGTTTGTATACACACTTGATAGCAGAAATTCAAATCATCAAGCAATGGTAAAAAAAAGAGGGGAAACTATAGACTACTGTTCGCAATCGAAGTGGTTGGGGGCAAACCACTTACATCAACCGGATCAGCAACACTGTCTCTCGACTGAATCGAATCATCAGTCAAGGTATACTGACTTCGGTCCCAAACAAGCGAACCGGTCATCCGGTGTCTGCATCACTTCGATCTGGAGGTCAGAGAGCATCCCTAATATCAATAAATCAATAGTGTAGTTTCCATAGGAAACACAACTGTGGGCATCTTTCAACTGGTACTCAGTATTTCGCAAGTTGAGAATCTGATCCAAGCTGCTCAAATTACTTGTAGAACAGGTTTCACACGTGTAAGTGGGGAGCTCGGGTACACACTATGGTGAGGTTTAAACTTAGTTTAATTGCGTATTTGTTGGAAGACGTTTTGACTACACCTTACTGTATAATATGTAGTGATAGGAATCAGGGTGAAACTTATTGACTGACACATAAAAAGATAAGGCATATCTGTAAGCTGGGAGGAACTCATTTGTCTTCTGAGATTCTAACCCGCGTCGCCCAGTGTTGCAGTCACAGACTTTGCCACTGAGCTATTCTCTTTTGCGATTGACCTCCTGTATGACTAGACACATTATACTAGTTACTGACCAGTGCCCAATCGAAGCATCCAATATAGTCCTACAGGAGGTCAGTCGCGAGCCTGAACAGCTCAGTTGCAACATCTCTGACTGCAGCACTAAGTGGCGTAGGTTCGAATCTCAGAAGGGACGGACATGGGTTCCTCCCAGCTTGCAGGTACACCTCACTGATGAGTGCTAGCTAGCACGAAACCTAGGTCCCAGGAAGGCTTCCTGCCAGTCGCCACCAACTATCTAAAAGCAACAATTCAAAGTGCACCGTGATGGCGAGCCACCTAACAAGGTGCAAACTTGACTGATAGAATTCAGTCTGCACAAGATAAAGGACTAAACACATTACACTAGTTACTAGCTAGTGTTCAATCAAAGAGTACCTAAATGCTTGAATTCTAGGAACTCTCAGTCCACAAAAACCATTGTGCGAGAGATGAATATTGATTGTCGTCTCATAACGAACTCGATAGATAGGTATTCGGAGTTGAGTACAAAGCAGAAAAACAGCCCTTTTTAGTGATTAGCAGCACATCAAGAATTCTAAGACTATTGGTATTCCGATGCCTGCAATCTCACACAGGGAGAAAACAGACCTCAGAAGTCAAATGTACTCACTCACAGCGTCAGGATTACGGGGAGCTTTGAAACACTCGCCGTACAATACTCTCCGCATTGACTGAGGAAATAAGGACAGAAGTAGCAATCGACTTTCAAGATATGAAGTAGATGAGCCTTCAAGACTTCCCCCTACTTGATATAATCAAGAGATGATGTTTACACCCGTGTCTGGTATTTATTCGCCTCTAAGCGTACAAACACTTCTGAATTGAATTGGAAGATGTTAAACTTAGTAACCGGTCATATTAGGTAGGACCCAATAATTTGTGTTCCCTACTGTGTCATGTAGGACTAAAGCTTAGGGCTGAATTCCAACTACCAACCACTTAAGTAAATCACAATGTTTATCAGTGGGACTGAATATCCCGGTAAAGGGTATGAATACCATATACCATAAGCATGTTTCAACTCGACAACAACATCAAAACAGAGATCACTAGCATTTCCATGGAGTCGTTGGATCAGTATACCACAGAACTAATTGGTAAGAAGACTGGTGATATTACCACCTCTGTGATTCCATTGATCATAACAAAGAAATTTTAAAAAGTCGTTGTTCGCCCTCTACAACTCTAGATACTACTCTCTCTCTCTTGAACTATCGATGGTGGTTTTTCGGCTTCCGTCGTTTTCAGTGCACACAGAGTGAAGAGGAAGTGAAGAGCCATTAAGTAGAGAAGTTTCATTAGTAGAAGCAAGGCAAGATAATAGAGATGAAGATGAAGACAAAGATGAGTGAGGATTAGAGAGGTTTCGCGTGCACTTCGGATTGTGAGGGCGATTGTTACTTCCCGGCTGCCCACACCGTGGAAGTTGGTTGTGTGACCGCAGAGCCCAGAGGACAACTGCCTGAGGCCGGTCACACACGGCCTGCTTTTGTTTGTTGTATTGTATTGTTTGCATCAATCCATGAAATCCCTGAGAGTTAAACTGAGTCAGGTAGGGAGATACAGACTTCCGGGTTGGGGCTCGCCCTCGGGACTCTAAGAATCAATGGCTGGAAACAATAGGTGACATGGCTCAAAATCGTTGTCAATCGCTTACGCAGATGTATTCAGTCTCTGTAATCTTTCATATTCCTTTCTACCATTACTCATTCTGTTTCACTCTTATACTTGTCAAAACTCTATTGATTCTCTTCACTCATCTTCTTGTCTACGTTTGTGTGGCAACTGGAACTGGTGCACTTCGGTGCCAAGTTCTATGTTGAATCCAGCCAGCCAGCCAGGCTCTCTTGAACAGAACGAGTTTATCACTTGGTGGATCGTGTACCTGCACTCTCCAATTATAAATGATGGTGTCCCAATTAAGGCTCGAGTTCGGTACCCATCACATTTCAAAAGCTAAAGCGTTATGCACTAGATCATTTGGGGCATGTTTTTTGCAACATTTTTCTTTTTTGATTATAGCTTGATTCCACACCGTATTTTTGACACAGGTATGGAATTTTCAGCATGTGATATCGGTAGCCCAAATTTTGCAGGCCGACCATTGATATTAGGTGTGCGTCGGCAGGGGGTCGAACACCGGACAATGTGCATGATCGGCGAGAGTCCTAACCACTGTGCCACCTGACTCAGTTTAACTGTCAAGGATTTCATGGATTGATGAGGCCATGTTTTTGTTTGGCCACCACCTACTCTTTTCCAACTTGCACCTATATCAGCTAGTAATGCCCGTCGGGGGGGGGGGGAGGCGATGGTTACGCATGCGCAGCACGTCACCTAGCCATCTCAATCTATGTAACTCTATAGCCTCTTCGATTGGTTTTCCCTCTTTGCCCAACACTCTACGCCTAACGTCAACATTACTTACCTTATTATGCCACCTAACGTGTGAAAGAGATAGTAGACATCTATGATCAACCTGGACCAACTGAGTGAAAGCCAGGAATCTTAACCGCTATGTGTTAGTTACTATTTGTCCTTTTTATTCAGTCTTGATTTCTTTTCTTTCCAGTGAATCATCGGATCGAAACCTTCGGCCTCTGCTGTTGACATGCCGGCGCTCCCCATCTATCAAATTTACATCAAGTTGATTCACTCAAATAATGTGCCTCGAAAGCCTCAGGATCGTCGGGGATGGGTGCCTTGCGCTGCGGGTTGGCCACCCCTCCGCACACCTCTCGAAATGCTCCCATATGACCAGGCGTCTTACATAGCCTCTCCTGAGGAAGTCCTACTCACTGCCTTCACGTGGCGAAGGTGTTTTTCACCAAAGTGAGAGGGCGAAAGCGGATGCCCGGCGCTCTTCACCGGGTTGACTGTCCATTGGATGACAGTCTAGGGGAGATGGCTAAACCCTGATTCCAAACCTCCAACGACTGGCGTACGGAGCTCACTGGAGCTCACCGGCAGACGTATGGACAAAGGGCTTGTTGGATGTCCTGGATATCTGGCCCCATTCAAAAAGGCATATGAACCGAACTCCGGTCACCGGCTGCTAATGGATAATGAACTCCCTACTCCACTCCTACTGCCTTGTAGGTCACACTTGGTTGTGTAAAGGCTAGAGCTGCACTCTCAAACAAAAGGCCGAGCGATTCTGGGGACATCACTCGTACCAAATTCCCATGAAACTTCATGAACTCTCTTACAAACGACTCTATTCAAGATGTTCATGTAGCCGGCTCATCCTCCCGCAAGAGATAGCCGAAGTAAAGTAAAGTAAAAGTAAGTGCTCAAACAATGTTGAAGGGGAAAGAGGCTATAACATGGCTTACACAGACTCAGAATCAAAAATTGAATTTGAAAACGTGTCTATTGTCTGTCTTACGCAACAACATTAAAACACATTTATGATCAAAGTACAATACGATAATAATAATAATAATAATAATAATAATAATAATAATAATAATAATAATAGTAATAATAATAAATACACAATTACACAAACACGAAAGAGAAAGAGAGCGATGAACAGACAGACTAAAATCGAAATTCAACCAACGTTGAAGTATTTATTGATCAGGATAGTTTGCGTGTAATATGCTGTGCTGTGTTGGGCTGTGCGGTGCAGTGCAAGTACTCACAAAACACACACAGGCACACACACACATACAACTCAATCTCTCTTATTATAATTATCAGTTCAGCGTATTTTGTATTATATTTAAATATAGTGCTCAGGTCACATGATGAGGGTTTATTCACACACACACACACACACAGGTAAGCGCACGTAAACAAAGTCGTAGACACAATTCCACGTGATTGTATTTGTTTTTACTCAAAAGAATACTGCAGTGAACATCAGATAATAATAATAGTAGTAGTAATAGTAATAACATCATGGAATATTATTGATGAATTGAAAAAGCGCAACTACAGACAGTGGATACTTTCTAGACTAAATATCTCTGCACGTCAAAGTCAGTCAATCAAACAATCATGAGCATGTACATCATAATCTGTGTACTCGATCAACTGGAACTGATTAATCCATCTCAGAGTGCAGAAACAACAACAAGAAGCTTAGCAATAATATCTTTGTTTTTTGACGATTTCTCTATTATTATATTTACTATTGTTCCCTTGGGTTCCTAGTGGAACATAGGGGTTCAACGTCACCACGTCTCCACTCGCTTCTGTCTTCTG